TCCGTAAGGACCCCGCTTCAACGGGAGGGTAGGACAAAAGATGTCATGCAAGTTCTTTTCCATAAGCACGCATGACTATTTACGGAATACATGCCTACATTACATTGATGAATTGGAGCTAGTTCTATGTCACCCTATGTTATAACTATTACATGAGGAATCGCATCCGGCATAATTATCCATCACTGATCCATTGCCTACGAGCTTTTTCACATATTGTTCTTCGCTTATTTTCTTTTCCGTTGCTACTGTTACAACTACTACAAAAACCCAAAAACATTTATCTTTACTTTTGCTACCGCTACCATTATTATCATACCACTTTTGCTACTAAACACTTTGCTGCAGATACTAAGTTATCCAGGTGTGGTTGAATTGACAACTCAACTGCTAATACTCAAGAATATTCTTTGGCTCCCCTTGTATCGAATCAATAAATTTGGGTTGAATACTTGACCCTCGAAAGCTGTTGTGATCCCCTATACTTGTGGGTTATCACGAACATGTTGGAATTTTTGAAGACCTTCATGATCGTACAGTCCTTTCATAGATGGGTAGCCGGCTTCTGCTGAGTGTCGTGCCTTGGACAGGGCTCGTTCAATAACTGCACAAGTCTGGGGCCTGACCCGCCAGACCGAGGAGGTGGCCTCCCCTTACGTCGTTGGTTGTTACCCTGCGCACTAGTTTTAGCCACAAAATCCAAACTACCGTCAGCCTTATGTTTATTACCTCCTTGATTTGTCGGGTTATGCTGAGGGCCCTTGCCATTGCCGTTCTTCTTTCCCTTCCCTGCCTTGTCATCATCAGACTCGGGATCCTTGGTACTATCAGAGTCGGCGTACTTGACCAGAGCCGCCATCAGCGTGCCCATATCATTACAATCGCGCTTGAGCCGCCCTAACTTTTGTTTTAGAGGTAAAAAACGGCAATTTTTCTCCAACATTAAGACTGCAGAGCCGACATCCATCTTATCAGACAAATGTATTATGGCTTTAACCCGGCGGACCCAATGGGTTGTTGACTCACCCTCCTCTTGCTTGCAATTCGTCAAATCCACAATTGACATGGGCTGCTTGCACGTATCCTTGAAATTCTGGATGAACCGAGCTTTTAACTCTGCCCAGGAACTGATTGAATTAGGTGACAGGCCTTTCAACCAAGTGCGGGCAGTCCCATCCAACGTCATGGTAAAGTACTTGGCTCGCGATATCACTGACCTCCAATAACTCCATAGCCATCTCATAACTTTCAATCCATGCCCCGGGCTGTAAGTCGGCCGTGTAGCTCGGCACCTTCCTAGGTCCCTTAAAATCCTTGGGCAAGCGCTCGTTACGTAGGGCCGGTACTAGACAGGGGACACCTCCGGTCCTGGTGGCCACTCCTGCCTCGATAGAAGTCGTTGGATAAACCAGATACGGCTGGTAAGTCGTCAGTTGAGCCGCCTGCTCAGCCGCTTGCTCAACCGCCCGTTCAGCCTCTTGACGTATTCTGTCTTAATCTTCCAAGTTAAAGGCCCCATGGCGCGCAGGGTCATGCCCACCTGGCTGGTTACGGCGCCGAACATTGCTTGAAACGACCGCTGAATCCATGTGCCTGCTATAACTCGGGCTTCGGCTCGGACGAGGGGTCGAATGGATCATGTCCCGACTGTATGAGTACGCCTCCTGCTGTGTTAAGGCCGTCTGAAGAAGTTCTTTGACCCGGCGGGTTTCAACCGCCGCCGGAGAGTCACCATCAATTGGGAGAGCCGCCAGCCGTGCCGCCGCCGCTATCATGTTCTCCAACGGGTTAGAATAGTGACCCAGAGGTGTTGGTACATACTGAGGTGGAGCCGTGTTCATGCGGGGAGTCCCCGTCACCTGTGGCTGGACTGGCGCCCCGACTCCGGGTGTTGCAACCCGATCTGCCTCAGTACGCGGGGAGAGCCACGGCGGGTTACTGGGCCCAGCACCAGGTGTGTGAAAGAGGTTTCGAGGAACATAAACCAGAGGGAGTCGAGACTGAGTCTTCTGATATCTTCTTCTCATGACCTCATTAAACGCGTTCTGATCCTGCGTGAGCTGGAAGGTCTGTGCCTGAATCCACTGAGCCTGAACATCCAAAGCCGCCCGCTCTGTGGTTATCCTGACATCCTCCGCTGCTAGGTCTTCCTTAGCCTGCACCATATCCAATTTTAATTGTGCCACTTCCGCATCATGTCGAGCTTGATCCACCGGGTTAACCACGACAGTTAACAGAGTGGTCAGCTTATCTGTGAGATCCATCAACACTTGAGCTGGCGAGCGCACAGGGCCTCCTGCCCGGCTGCTGCTGATCCGGAGGTCATGGCTGCCGCAGTCGTGGAGTCTTGGATAGGTTGTGTGTCGGCCATGAAGATCCCAACCCTGCTCGGCGGCTCGAAGCAATCCGGAATACTGCTGCCATCGGAACAGCCCCCAAACCCGCCATCTTGCAGTTGATACAACGAATCCGTCTCACCTGTGGATGACCCGCCATCAGAGTAGATGACCGTCTCACCGCTAGATGCAGATCCTTCAGAGAGCCCTTCATGGACGCATCCCACGAAGGCACGCTTCACAGCAGGCGGAGCCCGGGCAGGTCTCGCACGCTGAGCCGCCTCGACGAGGTCGGTGCAGATGTCCGGCTCAGGGCCCGGCTCACCGATCTTGCCGATGAAGACGTGAATTCCGCCGAAGGGGACCCGGTACCCGTACTCAATTGAGCCGGCGTCGGGGCCCCAATCTGCGTCGTCGATGTAGAGCTTGCCGCGATGACTCTTGGTCATCCGGCCCACAACGTATCCCTTGAGCCCTTCGAAGCTGCCCTTCAAGAACTCAAATCCATCGTGCGCTGGCCCCACGGTGGGCGTCAACTGTCGTGGAATTGTCACGGCAGATGTCCTAGTGAAAGGACTTAGTTGTGGAGCCATCGCAACTAGAAAGCTTAAAGGGGTTAATCGGGACAAAGGACACGAGGTTTATACTGGTTCGGCCCCTTACGGTGAAGGTAAAAGCTTACGATCCAGTTTTGAGTGGAATTGCTTATGTCTCGATAACCAGGGAGCAAATCGCTTGACCTAGCTCTCGAGTTGTTGTTACTTGCCTTGAACCGCTGCCCGGTCGTCCCTTTATATACAGAGGTCGACGCCCAGCGGCTCTGCGGAGTCCCGACCGGCTCATAAACAGTGTCCGGCTCGGTCTCTCAACTATTCTTGCCTTACAATACAAGTCACACATACATGGCGGTTTATCACTACGGGCCTTAAGTCGCCTTTGGGCCTTGGGCCCTTAACTAAACCGCCATCTATCTCCTGGGTCTTGCGCTTCAAGAATATTTGCAAGTATGACCCGACCCCTCCTGGGCGGGTCATACTAATAGTTATATCCCCAACAGGAGGGCTTCGCTTTTACATTCTTTTTTTAGTTTTGTTAGGGTTTTTATCCCGCTCAGCAAGGCGAAAACGACAGTGGCTCCCTAAAGATGAAATAAGGTTCTTCCCACCTAGCCCCCGTTTTTGGTGGTGCGTCAAGCATCGTCGGTAGGCGTGTGGAGATGTGTCTTCAGTGGATCTGTCTTGGATGGATCTGCTCGAATCTGGCCATCGTTCGTCTTCGTCTGTGTTTTTTCAGATTGGATCCTTCCGATCTACGATACTCTTTATCGTCAGTGATTGCTGTTCTGGTGCCCTAGTCCTTAGGGGTCTTAGAACGACGACTTCCCGACTGTCTGCTACAACAAGTTTTGCTCGGCTCCGGCAAGGGAAGGGCGATGACGACAACGCGTCTTCGGCTCGTTTCAGTGCTTCTGTCGTCGCTAGGTGGTCTAGGATCTGGATGTAATTTTTATTATTTCTGGTGTTCGTTGTACTGCCATGATTGAAGATGAATCGATCGGAAATTTCCGAAAAAAGAGCAGAGGAGTATCGAGGTGAGAAGGATAAAAATAACGTAAAGAACATTCCGAGGATTCTCAACAGAATTATTAGCGCTTAGAAAATGCTAACCCACCGAGCACGCTCGCTCGTCAGTGCCTGGTGCACGTTTCGTTCCCCGTTCCTTTCTTTCTTTACTTGTTTCTCATTCTCAGGCCCCATGTGACCCGCATCAAGGCAGGCCGACGCGCAAGCCAACCAGATCCGCACACACGCTTTGGACCACTCCAGTCCGCCTCTGGCTGCTCCCTTTCCTCCCTCTCCCCCCATCCCCCAGTGGTGCGGCGCCGACCGGTGCCCCCGGAGACTGAAGAGCCCAGCCGCCTGCCCGCCCCCGCGATCTCCGGTCCCGACTCCCGCCGCGCCGTCGGTACGAACAGCCCGGCAATTTCTTCTCCCTCCTCCCCTCCGTTAAACTCCACGTCCGCCAATCTCATGTCGTCGTACGGGGCTTTGCTTTCTGTTCATTTGTTCCTGAGATCTGTGGAGACACTGGGATTAGCCCCGCGTGAGAGCCACCGCGACTGTTTCGTTTTCTAGGGTTCTCGATTCCTCCGTTGTCGAATTTGAGCTGTGGACATCTGTTTTGAGGTATGAGTTTTTAGTCATTCAGTGATTCCCTAAAAAAAACTCCACAAATTTTCCCTGTGCCGGCACAAAGTCCGCATACCATCTAGATCCCGCCACTTTGGGAGATGTGGTTTAGTTAGCCGTAAACCCACTCGATCGTTCAAGTATTAGGAACTCAGTGCCGTTAAATAATTTTGTGTTCATATCCATGTTTGGTTTGCCATTTCGGCTAGTTCATGTCGTTACTTTATTATATATATCTCCAATTATGATTGCTTGGTTTTGGAATTTCATCTTTGCACATCATTGGCATTCTAGATAGTTTTGTTTCACACTTGGCTACAAATCTAGTGGTGTCTGGTGCTACCTATTTGTGATGGTATTAACTGCTGTACTTATGACAACTGCCTTTTTTTATGTTAGGTGCACCACATTGTACACTGAAAGCGGGCCTTTTTGTACATTAGAATTAGCATTAGACCCTACATGATAAGAAACCATGGCACCAGGAAGCAAGGCAGAGAAAAAAGCAGCATTGGATGCTGGGGCATGGATGTTCAATGTTGTAACTTCGGTTGGCATAATCATGGTCAACAAGGCCTTAATGGCTACACATGGTTTTAGCTTTGGTAAGAATACACTGCAACACTTTGGTATTTTTATCTGTAGAACATCTGTTGTTTTTAGCAAAATAGAACATCAGGTATCGCTGTAATCTCAAACTGAACTGCCCAACTGTGTTCCGTACATTGTCTCTTCCTTCGTTGCTTTCCCTTGTATCACATTGATCAAACTAGGACAGGACACATATATCCTTATTTAAATTTTGTTGGACTTGTAATTCTATTTATGTCAATGGAAGCCATATGTTATGTCCTTTATCATGGAACATTGGACTGTTGAACTTGCAAATTTACAAGCTTGGACCCCATCGAACATTGGATTGGTTCAACTAGGGTGCTATACATATATCCTTATCTAAATTTTGCTGGACTTGTAATTCTATTTCTTTCTATGAAAGATATCATCACATTTACCGTGGAACATTAAACTGGTTGAACTTGCAATTTTAGAAATCGAGAGGCGTCGAATTTTCAATAAATAAGACAATGATCTTGACTTCCAATGGAGATGTAGTAATGAGATTGGTAGACTTTATGGGAACACTAAAAGTAATGTTTGTAAGCCACTATATCTATATGTGCACCTTTAGCTTGAGATGTGTATTCAGGTATAACATTTGCGGGAATTTTATTAGAACTACTTATTTAGAGGCTGATGACCTTAAGCCCATAAATGGAGTATGTGTATTCTTTCGTTGACCATCTTTTGTGCCACTAATGTTGTGTTATTATTGTGCTTGTTTGTACAGCCACAACATTGACTGGGATGCATTTTGCAACTACCACTTTGATGACATTGGTAATGAAATGGTTAGGATACGTTCAGCCATCTCATTTACCTCTATCGGAGCTAGTAAAGTTTGTATTTTTTGCAAACCTATCAATTGTTGGAATGAATGTTAGCTTGATGTGGAACTCTGTTGGCTTTTATCAGGTACAATATACAACTCCTGCTATTTTCAATTCATCGATGTACTTTATATACTAAACTGCTTTTTCATCATTTTTGTGTTCAGATTGCGAAGCTATCTATTATTCCACTTCTATGCATTATGGAGGTCCTGTTCGAAAATTTCCGTTACTCGAGGGATACAAAGCTTAGTATAGTGGTTGTCCTTGTAGGTGTGGGAGTGTGTACAGTTTCTGATGTTAGTGTAAATGCGCAAGGATTGGTAGCTGCCGTAATAGCAGTTTGCGGCACTGCTTTACAACAGCATGTAAGTACAAGAATGTCAGTGAATTCATTTTGTTCGCTGCTGCATATTATATGGTACTTATGTTAATGGGCATCAATTTATATCATATTGATATCTTATTCCTGGTTCCTGCCATACTACATGTTTTATTTCTCCCTTCAGAATTCAGTCTTTGTAGAGTTCCAGGCTATCATGTATTTCTCATCTTAAACTGCATTGTTTGTTCATTAAGTTTGTTGGACAGTAAAAATATCGACTGCATTGACTGATGCCTTAGCTACTATTCCTGGTTATAATAAATACAAGATATTAGACTGGGTCTGCATGAGATCCAATGGAAGGCTTGCATTGAAGTCCTAGGTTATTGTGCATATTTATTATTTTATTTCACTAGCTGAGGTTCTCTGATATCTCTTTTGTAGCATTTTCTTTGACTCCCTATATCTTAAGTGAGACTTACACATATACAGAAACCTCTGCCCAATTAATATCTCAAAAACATGCTAGTAAGTAGTAAAAGGTTCTACTTCATTTATACATATTTATTTGTGCCCACAGAAGTTTTGTCCTAGACTCCCGTTTTGTGTGTGCATTTTTAACAACTCTTTCTTTTCTTGTATTTATTATTGTCTGGATCCTTCATTTTGCAGTATGTCAATTACCTTCAACGGAAGTACTCGCTCAACTCACTCAAACTCTTGGGTCACACTGCACCAGCTCAAGCAGCTTCACTGTTGATATTAGGCCCATTCGTGGACTTCTGGCTGACCAGGAATAGAATCGACACTTTTCACTACACCAGCACAGTGACGGTATGTAACCAAATGAAGAATATATATCACATCATGATGCTTGCCAACATTCCATAGTACATTATTTTATGACATTGCAGTGATTGGTAAATACATCATATATAATACAAAGATTACTGCAACTCAATTGTTGTTTCATTTGCTTTTAAAACTGGATTAATTCTGAATCATTATCTGTAATAACCAGTCACTCAAAACACAGGTAGTTGGTTGCATGATAAGGTTGCATAGTGATGGAAGGATCCAGTTGTCTGCAAAGTTAGCTAGTAATATACTATAAAAATAAATATAATTTACCCATTCCTCGGTATATAGAATATTATACTTTGAGCCTTCAAAGAGATGAATGACTGGCATTCTTTGTTTTGTATCAGTTCTCCTACTTATTGCTTGCTTGCTGACATAACCAGTTTCTGCTGTTGACTGACTCCATTTCCCCATCGCCTTTCAGTTCTTCATTGTGCTGTCATGCGTTATTTCAGTCGGGACCAATCTCAGCCAATTCATATGCATTGGGAGATTCACCGCCGTCACGTTTCAAGTGATCGGACACATGAAGACAATTCTCGTGCTAACCCTGGGATTTCTGTTGTTCGGGAAAGAAGGCCTGAATTTCCACGTGGCGTTTGGTATGATCCTCGCCATTGTTGGGATGATATGGTACAGCAGCGCGTCTTCGAAACCCGGAGGCAAGGAGCGGCAGGGTGTGGCGAGTGAGAAGGCCCAGAAGTCGCCACAGTCGGAGCTGGACGATAAAGTATGAGATGGAAGCCTCGAAGTTCCTATCGTCAGCTATTTATATGGACCCTGTCTTATATATCAAAAGTAAAATGATCATGAGAATTTTCCTCATTGTACACGGTTCCTTGGAGGAATGTTTCTACAGGGATGTTAGAAATGTAGGCCACAGAAGAAAGAGAGAGTTTACACTTTCGCAGGAAATACTCCTACATAGGTAACGTGGGCAGACGTTTTCAGTTTCAAGACTTCGTAATTTCATCACCGTCGTTCCTTCTTTTTTGAAAGTCATCACTGTCGTTCTTTGACAATCTTACTATACACATTTACACATTACTTGTCAGCCAGTAGTCATTGGAGTAACTCTAGCAGATGTCAGCCATATGGGCAGCCTCCATATCGCAGATGGAGAGGAAACACGCAAACATGGATTCGCCAAAAGGTGGTTTTCATATTATTTTTCTTACATGTAGGTCCTGCTTGTCATTGACTACAAAGCTTCTTCCCCAATAATCCAAACTTCTCAACACATTTGATTCAATTCGACTTGATTTTAAGAACTTGGGCTAAAAATTAGTTGCATTGCGACTTACATTTATAAAACATCTAACACTTGGTTAAATAAATACTAATTCATCGCAGGCCATTGGTTCCAACTCCTTCAACCTCAGCCCATTCATATCCACCTGTTTAGAGAGATCAAGTTCAAAATGCACACACAATTCATCGTAGCGGAGATACTACTAAAGACGGTAAAGAAAGAGACGAAATACATTCTAGTTGCTGAACAAGGTGAAGCGGAATGCCCATATTGTGTCCTCCATGCAGAAGGCACGCACGACTCTAGTCCAATCCCTTGTGATGGCCGACCGCCCATCCTTCACGGTCTTCGTGAAAACATCTACTCCCTCCTTTCCGGTTTATAAGGCTCAATTCAAAAATCTCACCAACCAAGGTAGATGGTGAGTGGTGGAATACTTTTTGTAGTTTGCAAAAGCACCTAATTAATGCTTTTGTTTTTCTCAAAAAAAATTATTTATCAATGCATTAATTGCAATGCATGCATGCATAAAGTACATGCATTGATCAATTTTCTCTCAATACTTGCATGCAATGATTTAATGCACCTTGGAATCTGAACATGTGATGGGAAATAACCAAATTGAGCCTTATAAAATGGAAAAACTAAAATTTTGAGATAAGCCCTATAAACCGGAAAGGAGGGAGTAGATAATCATTGTGTTCTGGTAGAAATACTTTAACATTTGCATGCCCACCAATCATGTAGTTTGATAGGTAATCTTGAGTAAACTGATTTGGGAACCACTGCAAAGGAAAAAAGAATCAGGCATTGTCATCTAACACAACTTATTATGGGCAGTAAAAAGAAGGTTGCAGAGTTCTTACCTACCATCCTGCAGTTCGCTGTTGTCTTGGATAAAGTGTAAACAAATAGTTTAATTGCCATATTTTGACCCATTTTACTAACAATCTTTATCAGCTTCCTCACTTGATGCTGGTTCATCGATGTCTCATTGCCCCATACACAGAAAGGGTCGAAATGCGGATCTTTACCAATGACATATGTATCTAAAAGCACCAAGTTAATATTAGAAGCTAAACAACAATTGCACAATGAAGTAGTATAACACTCTTTTATAATATCTTATAACATCCAATATACTCACATATTAGATGAATTAACATCTTATATCATGGCCCGGAAGGAGTTTATTGCATTCTTACAAATTATCGACTGATTAACTGTTGTTGTATCCATAAGTTAGAGTTAGTTTGAGCTAGTTCGGGCTCAAATACCCTAAAGTATATCCAAACATGAGGGCTAGTTTGAGCTAGTTGCATCTAACCCACCCAAAAGAACTATCCAACCCAATAGGTGCTAATTGGAGCTAGTTCTCCTAGTGCATTTATTGTCAATCTAACCCTGTCATCCAAACACCTCTTTGGATGGAGTTAGTTCAGGGTTAGTCATGAGCTAGAAACTAACTCTAACCTCTAGCTAAGTTGAGTATCCAAACAGGGTTGTGTTGTTGTTGTTGTTGTTGTTGTTGTTGCTCTTGCTGCTCTTCTACGTATATCTAGACATCATCAGGACATTAAGGTAATACTCTTCCTTGTTGCTATGTAGCCTTGGATTGCATATTTAGACATTAAGTATAGTGCATGTTGCTATGTAGCCTCAGATATATTACATATGGCCCTAGTTAACCTAACGATAAATGGGTTATAGGTATATTCAGCTAAAAGTCCGATTCACCGATTAGTCCCTTATCAGCCCCCAACCTATATGGTACCAGCTACCGATATCCTAAACAGTGAGTATATATAAGCCATGGAATGAAACTAACCTCGATGGAAAACAAAAATGGTTTCCAAAATTGTCCTGTGTAGGTACATTGAGAGGCATGTTAAGCACAACAGGCTAAACATCAACCAAAATTATCCATGGCAGGCAAAATAATCTCCAAAAGATAGCTTCAGTGTGCAGGTTTAAGCACGCTACTAAAGCAAAACAAGTGAAAAGGTGTGTTAAATGCAACAGGACTAACATTTAACAACAAGCAAACATAGTCATTCAAACTAGTATTGTGCCAGTCTAAGTATACTGGTTATTGTTAAATAAAAATGGAAATGCGTGTTAACTACAAGATGCGGCAACTAAATGTAGTCATTCATAATGGTACTGTTAAAACTGGTATTGATGAAATTGAACTACACAGTTCATACTTGCACATATAGAACATCACGTTGTGAATAACTGGAATAAACAAGGCATAGTACGAACAACCAAAGGTAGCATTTGAAACTGAACATATGCTAACTACAAACAACCGAACAATCAAAAAACTTTAAAAGAGACATATGCTAGCTATAACAGGCTTAACAACAAGCAAATATATGCATTACTATCTGTATGTTTAAAACTGGATTGCTGAAATATACTGCACATTAAATAATTGCACATATAGAGCATCACATTGTGAACAACTGAAATAAACAAGGCATATTGCAAACAACCAAATATAACAATTAAAACTGGACATATTCTCACTACACTACAAAAGGGACTCAACAAAACAAATCATGGGTTCCCCCATGTGAAGAGGCACGACAAAACAAATCATGGGTTTCCTCACTTGTCACAGGATGGGCTCGTTCCCATGGGAAGAACACGGACCCTGGATGCGCTCCATGTTGTCGCAGATGGGCTCCTTCCCCTTGGAAGAGCAATATCGTAGGGTGCTCTCCCTGATGTCGCAAACGGGCTCTTTCCCCTTGGAAGAGTAGATGGGCTCTTTCCCCTTGGAAGAGCCGGAGAGGGTGCCCTCATTGTGGTCGCTGTCGATGAGGTCTGACTTGGAAGCTGTGGATACCAAGCCAGCATCGCAAAATGTGTCCTTTAGAAATGACAAAAGGGGCTCGATGGCGATGTAGGATGACAAATTCTTGACAGCGAGCCAAAGGAGATCAACGACGGGGCCATGGATGAGATCGACGGAGGTTGAACCCGAGGGGTTGGGGGTGATCCACTTAACCTGTGACATAGCTCGCCTCAGGTCGTCGCTGTAGACGACCTCGATGTCATAGCCGGCATCCGCGACATACCCGCATACTCTAGCCCGTTGATTGAGTGCCTGCGGCCAGTAATGGTCGTCAGCTTCCTCGGCGATGTCGAGCGAAGAGACCGCGATACACCTCTTTTGGGCAGTCGCTCCGCAAGCTCCACGGGAAGCATAGCCGGGCTTAGGTTGCGATGATCTGGAGTGGGGGATGGGGATGGGGATCTGTGGGAAAGGGGGCATTTGGCAGGCGCCATCTAAGAAACTCAGGGCGACCCGGGTATGGAGATCGGTGGGTAAGCTGCACAGGCAAACAGTCAGATGTTGACAATGGAGGCCTTGCGGCGGTGGTGGCGGGGACCTTGCTAGGGTTTTGAGTGAGTGTGTGTGTGTGTGTGTGTGTGCGCGCGCGCCCACGAGAAGGTTTTGGTGTGTGTGGGTGTGAGAGGGGGTGGTGGGGGTGTGTTTGAGGAAATGCCGCGGCTACTGAAAATTTTACTACGCGGGAGTGAAATGTCGGGGCTATTGAAAATTTGGATGATGGTGCAGTGTGTTATGAAACAGAAAAACCCTTGAGGCGGGCAGATATTTTCGAGGGATGCGGGCTGGATTGGGAACAAGAAACATCACACACAGTTAACACATAATAACTGTGTGTTATCAAACAGAAAAAAGTTGCAGGCGGGTAGATATTTTTGAGAGGGGAAGCCTCATGGATCCCAATGTACTGTGCAGATGTGCGTGATAGGGGCACCGGCGTGGCAAACAGTTAGTGTGAGTGAACCGTGTCTGTTGCGTCATCCGACTTGTCTAATGTTCATAAATTTGGCGAAAAATGACGCGGTAGAGGGTCAGAACACGAACACACTTGCAAGTGGACCAAATTTATGTATGAAAAGGGTGGTTTGATATTCAAATACCAAATGCAACTTTGATGTGGCACCTATCTCGCAAAGTGCATGGTATTGCTTGCCCCTCTCGTGTCGGCATGAAGGGAATCCTAAGCTATGAATGCATGCCACGCAACCGAGGTTCACCTAGCAAAGTGCGAAGTAGCAGCCCCCCACACCCACTTTCAGTCGGCGGTCCAGAGAGGCATCTCACCAAGATGGATCATAAAACGGACCAAGAATAATCCACCTTGGTCGTACAACCTCTCTCTTGTTGTTGGTTAAAGTGATGGTCATCCATGCGACCCCGGACATGGGCTAGCTCGCCAATAATCACACAAGTAGCTAGTCCCAGAAGACAACCACTGCATGCGTGTGGCCCAAACATATGTATGGAGAGGTGTGTTTTGAATACACAATGGAACAACTTTGATGTGGCACCGTGCTTTCGAACAAGAAATCCCCACACTGAGTGAGGGTTAGGTTGACGATGCATATGTATGTCACACCACACTTCAAGCCGATGACGGGGATTCATGCATGCATGCGTGCATAGTATGCGCTCAAACTTAATTAGGTCTGAATCTCACCATGACCTATACTACAATAACATGAACCAAAGGAAGAATCCGCTATGGTAACTGAAAGAACATGTGGTGCCCCCATGTTTGGTTTTGGGTAATTGAGGACAATCTCTATGGACTAATGGTTGCCTTGGGTTTTATTTGAAGGATTTGTCCATAGGCTTTTCTTGGAGTCCATTTGTTGGTTTCAAGGAGAGTTTGTGATGACCAAGGTGCCATTCAAGGAATTACCTAAAGATTGGTCATGTGAGAGGTTGGTCAAGACTAAGTCAAAGAGTGAATCAAGTTGATCAACACACAAAGCGTAGAATATGTACCGAGAGGGATCAAGTGATCCCATGGTATGGTAAGCATTGTCAATTACGCTTTGTGTACTAACCCATGATCTTCGTGAGAGTTCTTTGTGGGGTTAGGTTGTGGTGTGCAAGTTCAAGTGAAGCATCACGAAGAGATAAAATGCTTGAAGCTTGCCGTCCATTGTGGTGACAATGGACTTGTGAAGATGTGGGGAAGAGTGGCTTACCCATAGTGGAGTATGGGGGAGCAATCAACTAGTCTTCATCGAGCCAACACAATCAAGAAAGGTGGTTCAACTTGAGGGAGTCAAGATCGTCATCATCTAGCTCAAGTGGACCATGT